TAATTTCACGACATAAATAGTATGATTTAAAAAAACATTATTTATCATGTGACATATTTTTTGAAATATACTTAGACAAAATATTGAAAATGATTTTACTATATAAAAAGCTATTGCATACATTTGTATTCCTAGGGAAAGGGCAATGCATGCGTTATTCTACTATTTGCATTGCACTTTATTTGACCTTCTGAAATAGATATTGATAAACCAAGGTCACGGCACATATATATACAGGTCAATATTTGTGTATATGCTTATCTTTTGAATCATACATCCAATAAAATTGAGAATGGAAATGGGGAATATGTCAAAGAGACAACAACCCGACCAAAGAGCAGACAACAGCCGAAAGCCACCAATGGGTCTTCAATTCAGCGAGAAAATCCCGCACCCGGAGGTGGTCCTCAGCTGGCCCTTAAATAAAATTGAGTGCTAGTTCAGTGAAAATGGACGTCACACTAAACTCCAAAACATATAAATGAACTAAAATTAAAAAAAACATACAAGATTAACAAAGGCCAGAGGCTCCTAACTTGGGACAGGCGCAAAAATGCGGCGGGGTTAAACATGTTTTGTGAGATCTCAACCCTCCCCTATACCTCTAGTCAATGTAGAAAAAAGAAACACATAGCAATACGCACAGTAAACTCAGTTTAAAAGAAGTCCGAGTCCGATATCAGAATAGGTAACAAAAGAAACTAAGCAAAATGACAATGATACATAAATGAACAAAGGACTACTATCAGTTACTGACATGCCAGCTCCAAACCTCAATTAAACTGATTGAAAGATTATGTCTTCATCAGATGAAAATCAAGTACAATCCCTCCCGTTAGGGGTTTAGTATCATACCATCATAAAATATATGAGAAGAACATAACCCGTATCATGCCAACAACTGGTTTTAGAATAAAATGTGTTTATTTCCGATGCAAAGATCCTATGAGTGAATCAATATTAATACCAAAATATGCAATCCTTAATGACTTGCCAACAGTATCGTAACTATATCCTTTCCGAATAAGTCTGTTTAAAGGTTTGGTTAGCTTTTGAGGTGAATGCCGACATTTTTGTGCTTTGTAAAGAATATTACCATACAATTTGGATGTGAAATACCTGAACGTATAAGATGTCTGCATGTTGATTTATTTTTACGAATTATGTCCTTGTACCGATGATAAAATTTAGTAAATGTTTTGATTAGTTTGTGATATCGAAAACCCTGGTGTAATAATTTTTCAGTAATACAGAGATTTCTTTCGTTGAAATCAAATGCATTGTTACATACACGAGCGAATCGAATAAGTTGAGATATATAAACACCATAAGATGGCGACAAGGGAACGTCACCATCTAAAAATGGATAATTAACAATAGGAAATGAAAAATCATCTCTTTTATCATAAATTTTGGTATTAAGTTTCCCGTTAAAGATAAAGATATCAAGATCCAGGAAAGGGCAGTGTTCATTGTTAGTATTAGCTTTATTTAAAGTCAGTTCGACAGGATAAATCTCTTTAGTGTACCGCATACTGAAGTCGTCATTATTGAGAGCCAATATATCATCTAAATATCTAAAAGTGAATCAGATGTTGTTTCGATTGGTCTTTGCTGATTTTAGTCATAAATTGTAACTCATAACAATACAGAAATAGGTACGCAATAAGTGGTGCACAGTTAGTCCCCAAGGGAATTCCGATAACCTGACGATATACGGAATCTCCATAGCGAACAAAAATGTTCTAGTAAAAATTCAAGGGCAGTTATAGTATCAAAGCAGGTCCAATTGACATAGTTCTTTTGTTTGTTGTTACTAAAAAATGACCTAAAAGAGTTTGAACATATATATTTGCATTCCGACTTTTTAAATGCCCATTTAATCAGGTGTGTGAATTCTTTCTTCATAGGATTATGAGGCAACGTGGTATATAGGGTAGAAAAATCAAAACTTTGAACAGATTCGAAATCAACAATATAAGCATGTAATTTATCAAGTACTTCCAACGAATTTTTGACACTCCAAAAGTTATTAATTCCACTATTTTCAAAGGCCTTATTTGAACAATTTATTACCAGGTTTTTGATTGTACCAAGTGTACTTGTAAGTAGAATAGATAGTTTAGTAGTGGAACAATGGCTTGAAGATGAAATAAATCTATATTTGTAAGGAGTTTTATGCAGCTTCGGAAGCCAGTACATAGTTGGAACTTTCATTGTATTTGGTTCTGCTTGTAAAGAGGTAGCTAAAAGTTTATGTTTGTTACAGATATCATTTTCCGAAAATGGAGTCAGTTGGAATGTTGGTGAATTCGTGATTTCCTTTTGTAGAACAACAATGTAAAATTTACGTCAAACAATAATGATATTGTTAGCAGCCTTATCAGCCGGGACAAAAATATATTCTTTGGCGAGTTCTTTTAGCTTATATTTGATACGGGAAATTGGGCTATTATGGTTGTCGTTAGGAGTAAAATGATCTTTAAAATGTTGAATATGTATATCAACTATGTTCATTACCGAATTAAAAAAAGAATCTAATGATTTCTTGTCAGCTTTTCTCGTTTTATCCATTTAGAGCAGTAAGTACGGAGTGAGTCGTGGATAATGTTACGACACTCATTCCAATTAATAATTGACGGGGGACGATATTTAGGTCCTTTACTGAGGAATGATTTCAACTCTCGGTCACGCACGATGTTAAGGTCTCCTGTTATAACATGGAAACTGGGGCCATAAATATATTCGGATTTTCTGCAATTTCATGAGATTGGTGTATTGTCACTGATATTAACATCTTTACACATTTCGCTGTAATTAAACACATATATATCCAAGCCTTTATAAACATAAGAAGATGTGGTATGATTTCCAATGAGACAACTCTCCACAAGAGACCAAATGACACAGAAATTAACAACTATAGGTCCCCGTACGGCCTTCAATAATGAGCAAAGCCCATTCCGCATAGTCGGCTATAAAAGGCCCCAAAATGACAAATGTAAAACAATTCAAACAAGAAAACTAACGGCCTAATTTATGTACAAAATAAAGAACGAAAAACAAATATGTTACATAGCAACACACGACAACCACTGAATTACAGGCTCGATATTGTTTCTGACATATAAGAAATCATTTTTCTTTATTTAATATTATCGTGGATGATTGTGAAAAAAGGTCAAGGTCTCCACAGTCAAATTCATATACTCTGAATTTTGTTTCGGTTTTTGATAATATTTTGAATCATATGTCCAATGTTAGCTTTGTGGATGATATTCTATAGGAGGGGTCGAAGTTGCAAGGTTAAAGGCCTAAATTACATCTCCCATTATGTGTTTGAAATTGGGCGAGTGATATATTTTTTGGTTTTCTCGGCTTTGGTATTTTTTAAAAGTAAGGTCCTTATCTATTCTATGTAAGTTAACCGAGATATAGATAACTATAACTGCTCTGGAATCTACAGCTTTATTTAGGTAAATAAAACCTTCTTCTTTTTCACCTAGTTATGACATGAACTTGCATCACTTTTAGGAGATGTAATTGCATGTGTCATCTTAACCTTTGTACATTACCTTACGATAATATCTAATAGTATATCATCTTGACTTACCAAGGATCATACTACTTTTCACCTGACCTTATGATATTTTGTCTCTTTGCTAATCACGCAAATGTGACGTTTGCCAATGACTTTTACCTTTGAGTTCACTCAGGTGAAAAATAATCTTTTTATGTAAAAAAACCTTTAATTGTTCAATTTTAAACACCACGTAGTATTATTGGTAAAATCCCCTAACATGTGTACCACCTGTTTTACAAACCATAACCCATTCATTTTCTTTTTATGGAAAAAAATAAATCTTACATTCTGAGAACCAAAAGCCATAATTCCTTTTAGTTAACTTAATTTAGTTAACATAATGTCCGTTATCCACAGAAAAGTACAAGTTTATGAACCGATAAAAGATAAGAAGTTAAACAAATATGAATACGAATATTGACCGACAATGCTTCCATGACTTTTCAAGGACATTTTTACTGTTATGGTGTACGTATCCTTGTTGTGCAAGGTTTCCTCATTATCGAAAATAGTATGTTCAATCATCGTATAGTGGTCTCTAAATTTCTTTCTGGGTTCCTGTCTCATTTAGGTTTACCTCAATGTCTCTTACACACATACTATCTATTGTTTCTCCAACTTACACATGCTAACTACTTTGAAAAAAAATAATAGATGAGCAATTCCATTTTCAGATTGTAATATTATTATCAATGACTTTAAAATACGAGAATTTTTAATTGATTTGAACAGTAATAACCATGCATTATAATAATTATTTTATGTTTTTCTTTCAATGAATTAAATTGGAGGACAACCAACGGGTTGCTTTTTTAAACAGCTCTCATTTATTGCAACTTTTTCATATTCATTCCAGAACTAAATAAAGTTTCCAACATGCAAAGTATACACTGTGACAGTGAAATCAGGTGATCCAGAAAGACTTATTAATTCCAGTAGCACCCGTGGCATATTTATCATTGATGAAAAAAAAAACCAACTGGACAACACCTTCTTAAAAATGCATTAAAAGTAAACGATTTTTACCACTTCCTATTGCTTAAAGTAAATAAAAATGACATAAACATTTTCTTTAAAATATAAACACGTCTGTGCGCAAATAAAACATTTTTTTCATAGGTATATATATAAACAACTGAAGGTCACGGACAGTTACTATATATACTAGGGCAATCTGATGAATTGATTGGTGAACAACATCATCTTTAAAAATTAAAAACCCATTTAAATTAATTGATAAATTGTCAGCTTCTTGGCATCTAAATAACGTAAATATTTTGAATTTTTAAATAAAAATTACAATTTTCTTCAACACTTTTTAATAGAAAATATATCTGTGATGGGAGTTCACACACAGTTCATCCATAAACACGTCTGCGCACACGAATATCAGACTAAGTTGAACCATCAATATTTATTTATATATAACTTAAGTATATTTACAAGGTCACAGACAGTTACGATGATACGTATAGACATTTACAATAGTAAATCACCTCAGCACAGACAAAGCTGGTAAGTGATTTTAGAATAATACGAATAACATTAACGGTACCAATTTTTCTGCACCAGATGCACATTTCGACAATAAATGTCTCTTCGGTGATGCTCGAAGCCAAAATATTTGAAAATCCAAATTAGTACAGAAGATACTGTTTATATGAAGCAAGGATTTATATAGTAAGATACTATATAAATCCTTGTATGAAGGTATAAATATAATATTCAAACAGTCTATATCATTGTGGAATATTAATAATGAATGAAAGTACATTGATTTATCAAACAGATGATTTAATATTCCAAATATAATATTATTTGTACTTTGTACATTATTAACTCTTTATTTTTTAATGAGTAGAGAAAACTTTCTGAGAAAGCATAATTTTATGAAACATATGAAACGTATGAAACTAAAACGTCTTTTTGAATATTATTGCTCAATAAAAATTTAAAAACGTACTAGTTGCTTGATAAGGAATATTTCAATCTGAAAAAAATGGTCTATTCATTAGCTGTTTCTGTTTTTTTTTTTTAAATTAGAATAAAGAGATGTGGTATGATTGCCAATTATACAGCTATCCATAGACCAAAACACGAAGTTTTGCCGGTTTTCCTGAGCACCAGTATCCAACCAACAACTACAGCTAACTTAGCAAGCAGTTATGTAGCAACTACATTTTGAACCAGATTTCCTGTTTCAAATTATGATCCGTTTTTTGTGCCCTTTTTTAAGTTAGTTGTCATCCTGTTGGTAGCTACACCGTGCAGTTTTGTATTGTAGTTTAACGACATTGAAAATTAGAGTTCCTTCATGAAGGGAACTTCAAAATATAACCTTACACAAGTTCTTCTTTGTCTCGACCTAAAATCCACAAACGAGTTGCTGCCTAATATTAAGCAGCATAGTATGGCACCAAAACCTTTGCAACCCGGCAAATATTTGAAAATAAAATATATAAGTCATATGTCTTCTAAGGAAAATGTAATAAAGTTAAAAATGAATTGCATAAACAATTGTCAAATTGTGCACATACATTTTATTATTCGTTGCCTAACATAATACAAAAACAGATGCAAACAACCAGACAGATAAAAGGTCTAGTTTTAATATTACGGGTTAAGTTTTAATAAAATTGCATGAAAATGCTTCCATTTTCGAAACTTAAAAATCTGAAGCATTCTTTTTCTTGTAGACCTACAGACAAGTTTTGACGCAAGCAAAAACTGCTATACCATGGAACCTTGCAATCAGTGGGAAAACAAGACCAGTAAACAAGTTCGGGAAGAATTCAAGGCTATCAAACTTGAGTATCAGAACATAAAAGTAGACATTAAGCCTGGAAATTATACCTGCTGCTTGTTTCTGCCAAACTCTGATATTGCCTTTGCTAATCATATGGATGATGTTGTGTTGATTTATAAAATAGACGGAACTCTCAGCGCAAGTATTTCGATAGAAACGCCATTTGCCATTACTTCCATCGACGATGAAACTATTGCTGTAACTGGAGGCAACACTCGTCTTATTTCCATAATCAGTTTGTCTAGTAACAGTGTAGTCAAAACCATAAAAACTGAAGAGACTGGGTGTTGGGGCATAACTTACTATGATGGCTTCCTTTACTTTGTGGTTGAATGGAAATGTATCTTTACTTTAAATCTATCCAATGATAACCAAAAAAGGTTAAACTATTTAAATGATAAACACTACAATAGTCATTGCAGGTCCCATCTCACCTCTTTTGGCAACAGACTATGCTATACCTCAAATGAAAATGCAGATGTCGTGGTTCTTAAGATAAATCCGGATAAAGAATCTGCAGAGAAAGTATACCAGGTGTACGAGCCTGATGTAATAAATGACCAAGGACAGTGCACAATGGATGAAGACAGACATGTATATGTTGTTAGCCCAGAACTACGTCAGGTGATATTAGTATCTGCACAAGCTGGTTATACATGTTCATATGACAACTGTCGCAAGTTATTAGGCAAAGATGACGGGCTTATTTATCCGAGTGCTATTGATTATGACAGAAAAACAAAACGATTTATGATAGTAAACTTATTATCAGATGATGACGGACCACTAAGTCCATATTTTATGATCTTCAAGAAGGCTAAACCAGAAAATCAAGCTGATCAAAAGTCGTGAACATATATTTGTTATGATTGTTTGAATATTTACCCTAATTGTTCTTCTGTTTGGACATGACAAAGCATCGCCTCACTATAAGAAAACAAATACTTTTTACTATTGTTTGAGAAACTATGAAGAGTTCGTGAAAGTTATATTTGATCTGAGGATATTTCGGATTATTTTCATATTACTTAATGTGGCGTAACAAAACATTGATCATGTTTGGATTTATTGTTATCTTGTATTTGTGCAAATTGCATGCGCTGAATGAACTATTGAAATTAGAATAGTTTCTTCTTCTTCTTCTTCTTCTTCCGAATACGGGAGTAGACTTCTAGGTAGGAGTGTAAAACTTCCCAGAACTTGTGTGCTATGTACATATGGACTTAATTAAAATTGATATAATAAAGAAAAATAGTTTACAATAACGTATATACATTATGTACAGTGGCTTGGTAGTTTAATAAGTTGTTGTGGGTCCTTCAAATGTTAGAGTGGATATGTCACTTTTGAAGAATTCCAGGATGTGAGACATACCTCTTGCTTCAGTTAGTGAATTCTAATCAGAAATAGTGTGAGGGTAGAATGAAAATTTGTAGAAATCTTTATTAGTTGCTATTTGCATAAATTTATGTTTCCCCATAGTACGTCTATCAGATTTTGTTAAATTGTCCTTTGGAACTTCAACTCAACCACAATTAATTTTATATAGCATAGTTAATCTAGCCTTTTTTCTTCTAATTTGTAAACTTTCCTATTCCAAAGAATTTATCAAGTTGGAGACTGCTCCAGGTGTTCTGTCTTTATAATCGTTATAGACAAATCTGGCTGCCTTACGCTGTATCTGCTAAACCTGAGTGATGTGTTGCTTTTTGTATAGATCCCAGACAGGGGAAGAGTAATTTATTCTATATACAGTAGTCATCCTTATTTTACAATTTTTGCATACTTCACATTTTAGTTTTGATATGCTTTCCAGACAGCATGCGCATTGGCGAAAGAGATTGTGATGAATACTCGAAGAATCTGTCTGGCCTTGTTCATCTCACCAAGACCTCATTTTCATAGAACATTGATAATGTTTAGTTTATGTGATACTTGTAGTTAAACCTTCCTATTATAGACTTTCAACATAAATTCAATGATAAGTAAAACAGGTGAGTCATTTCTGCGTGTGCGCTCTTTTGCTTATGAATTGTGAAGTAATTGCAGGTCTCCCCATTTATGCAAGGTATAACAAATTGACAAATAATTAGATGACCATTAGTCCAAAAGGAAAGTTTCACAGAAAAAAAAAATAAGTAAAATTGCCTTTCAACATGTTCAAGACGTCATAATAATTTGCCCTATGACCGTTTGATATTTTTGGGGGCCAGAAGGAATTTTTGCAGATTGCCTAATGCCTATTCATTTTCATCTTTTGCTATACGCATGCTTATATGCAGTGGATACGGTATTCATTTATAAAAACCCTAATCCCCCAAAATCAAATGGTAATCCCCTTTCCTTTCAACTTTATACCTACATGTACTATCTATGTATCTTTGTCTTCGGGTCAAATCCTCTTGCCCCCTGGTTTTTTTGCTCAAGCACATATATGACATACAGTGTATATTAGGTTTGGCTTCTACCATGTCTACAGACAGACCCCTCATCTGGGAGATGTCCTACTATAGTGAGAATTCTCACAATCGATAGGGATTTTTGTTTGGGAGGTCAAACTTTTGAAACTTTGTTTTAAGCGGGGTCATTATGTGGTAGATAAAGTAAAGGGGGGTGCCAACAAAACTTTTTAACGTGAAAAATTTGAACAGATCCCTTCAGCAAATAAAATAATGATCGTTCCCCAAGTTTAGCTTCTACAGACCCCTCATCTGGGAAATGTCCTACTATAGTGTGAATTTCTCCTCGCATAAGGTCCATTTATAATTCATATACGGAAAAACAGGAAATAATTTTTTACAAAATTTCCTTCTAGTTACTAGCTTTTGATCATAAACAAGCTTCTGTCCAAGTTTGGAACAAATCCATGATAGTTTAAGAAAGTTATTAAAACTTTTAAAACTTTAACCACAGAGTGAATATTTGTGGACGCCGCCGACGACGGAATGTAGCATCGCTATGTCTCGCTTTTGCGACAAAAGTCGCAGGCTCGACAAAAAACATTCAAAGACCTTGCTGTCACCAGGTTATTCCACTGGTCCACTTTAATATGATTATGTGTTTCGTGTCAACCCCATAACAAATTAAGTTTTCAAATAAAACACTTCCGCCTGCCATAAGCCAGTAAATATTTTTTTTGTTATAAAATGAAAATAAACCCATACCGTATAGTCGGCTATAAAAAGCATTTGTTCTGTTGATTGATAGTGGTTTTATGGACTGGAATGAGATCAAATATGTTTAGTTCTGTTAAATAGTTTTCCGTTTGATCAGTTGTAGTTGGTTGTTTGAAGTTCGAAGTATGCTGCATATTTAACTTCGTACATCTATTTCAGGTCTGCAACCGATATAAAAATAAGGAGATGTGGTATGATTGCCAATGAAACCACTATCCACCAAAGTTCAAATGAAGTGGATATAAGCAATTATAGGCAACCATACAGCCTTCAAAAATGAGAAAACCCTAGTCGGCCGTAAAAGGCCCCGACCCCAAAAGTATGCAACAATTTATTTGAAAAAAGTAATGGCATAATTTACAGCATAACAACAGGTTGGCAACAACCCCCCAAATGAGGGATATTCCTTAAATGAGGGACTGTCGTTGCTGTTGTAGAAAAGGAAAAAGTAAAATGTAGCCTTTTTAACTGACTTAAAAGGGAGAAATTTGGAACAATTTTTCTAAAAGAGGGATCCACTTATTGTCAATAATAAAGAAGATTGAAGTCCATGAATATTCCAAAATGTGTACAAACTCGACGTCAAATGTTGATATTGTTCTACTTCAATGACTGTAGGAGATCAAATTAGATGACAACCAGTAAATTAGAATCTAGAAACAAATTAATTGCAATGGTGATTGGAAGTTCAATGGAATTCCTTCCCGCGTAAATGTCGTACATTAAACGGGATATACCATTTTTAGGGCTATACTGCGTTCATATTTAGGTTATTTCGACACAGTATATTAGTTACACAGTAACTACATATAATGTGTCTGAATTAAGTTAGTTTAACAGAAAATTGAGTTATTTTCGAAAAAACACTAAGGTAATAATTACATTGATTGACACAGAATATAATAAACCCCTAAAATATAACGGTATATGGAATCGTCCAAAACGGTTCTGATAAAGTTGAAACGCGTAGAATTCGAGAACCGTTCAAGGCGTCAAATTTATTTGCAGTTGCATTCGTTGATTTTGCCAGTCAAATGGACTGGAATGAGATTAAATATATACACATAGAGGTATATTCAATAGATTTATCGTTAATCAGTTGTATTTGTTGGTTGAAAATTCAAATATTGATGATATATCTGCTGTACATCTACTTCAGTTCTGACGAGGCTACCTTAATGACGATACTAATTTAATGTGTACAAACCTGATGTCAAATGTTGATATTGTAGAAGGAATCACAGAAAAACAATCCAGAAACAAATTAACTGCCATTAAATTGCAAAGGTCAATGAAAGAATTTCCCGAGCAAATGCCATGTGTTAAACGGGATAAACCAAAAAGATTTTTAGTTTCATGTTGTCGTTCACATTTAGATCAACTTATACAGTAAAATAAAATATAAATGTCTACTATATATATATAATGGTTTTGAATGTAGTCACTTTATCAGAAAACGATTTATTTCTCGCAAACAACGCTAAATAAAATATATATTAACTCGGCTCTGAATCTAAAAAACCCTAAAATATAATGGTATATGGAATCGTCCGAAACAGGTTTTCCGAACATTAACAAAGGTGAAATACGTAGATTCAGAATTGTGCACACAAAAAAAAAATAAGATCAGAGATAAAGTCGTATGTTATTGAATCATCGTTTATTAAATGTGCTTGCATAAGAACCTTGAAGTTGAAACTACGAACGATTATGTGTATCCTGTCAACCCCTAAAAACATTATACTGTCTACTTCGACTCGCCATATGAACTGAATTTTTAATATATTGTTATAGAGTATGTTAATAATTACTGTACCGGTATCACTTATATTTTTATCGATAATAACAAAAATCTTGAAACAAGAAAAAATGTTCAATACCTTTTTCATTTCAAGTTTTAAAAAATCATAGTTGATTAGTTCATAATTCTTCAAGTCTACACTATTTGTCATAATTTATTTGACCTGTCAGTCTGTTTGTCCATCAGTCCTGTTCTTTTCATTACAACTCCTCTGAAACCAGAAGCCTTGGAGAAGACATTCTTAAAAAAAGAACTAAAATAACACAGAAGGGTAATTTTTAGCTTATCTACCACCAAGCGTCATGTCAGGTATTGTCATTACTTAAAACTGTTAGATAGTTAAAAAAAAAATCGACATTTAAACAAAATGCTTACCAATGATATTTTTCAAATATCAAATTTACGTCCCCCCCAAAAAAAAATAACAGTATTTGTGGACAAACCCAAGTAAGAAATGACCACCACAAAGGAGCATAAATAGAACCATACAAATAGTAAATGCATGCAGGTTCTCAGATACCATCTCGCATATCAAAATCACATCATGTAGAAATATACCCAATGTGTTCCTCTCCTAATTTTAAGTTTTGCTGCTATCCAAAATCAAAGTTGTGGAACATAATTTATCAGAATCATTGAGTAATCCATGCAATTAGTGTCTCCTCCATTACAGTCTTGAACATTAAAACTAAATATTAAATAAACGACATGGCTATTTTTTTAGTGTTTGGTACAGATTGGCTGTCACTGTGCAACTCAGTTTAACATAGAACCCTATGGGAAAAACAGAGAACTCTTTTTGTCAGAACACACAGTCAAACATCCAAACATACTATCCACATTTGTTAACATATAATAATATATTTTTTTTTACAATTTTACGTATAGGCAAAGTTCGACCAGTTTTGTTATTAGTAGTCTCAGCTTCGAATTTACAGATATACCGATGTGACATAATTCACTCAATATTTCCAATGGTATATAATATGGGTGTATGTTCTCCAGTTGAGCATTAACATGATTAAGCTTCTAAAATTGCAAGTCTTATCTCTGCAATACTTCCACTTGTCTTTCCTATCAGTGTCCG